CAATAAATAAAGCATAGATAATTTCGGTGTGTAATGATATCGCGGCACGATATCCGACATAAATTACCGCGTTTTGACAATCCGATGCAAAGGCTGCCATGGCGAACGGCGCGTGACGATGTCAACCAGTTTCCGGAATCGTTTCCATTAGCCGTTTTAATCATACCATTTACGGATCCGTGTGTATACGCGCTCGCCGACAATGGCACGGCCGTAGCGCCGCCGCTGATTCGGTACAAAATTCATTGTGGAATCGTCACAATACACGCCGGGCTCCGTGACACCGATATTATTCTCTCCTCGGCCGACGACGACATTATCTCCTGATCACCGTCGAAACGAACAATGCTAGGAAACGGCAGACGACACGGCGCGACGCGACGAGAGAAAAAGAGCCGGCAGACTATGCCACCGTTCCGAGAGAAACCGTTGGTCGAGTGGGGAAAAAAAAATACAGCAACGTGGAAGAGAACCGGCGTTGGAGCGAAAGAGAGGAAGACGGAGGAGGGGGGCTCGAGGAGAGGGCAGGCAGCAGGCGGATGAGTTATTAGATCCGGCGTATCCGGTATTGCGTCGCGGATGACCAATAGTTTCATCGAGGGATTGTTGAAGGTTCCGGAGCACATTTCCGGTTTCCGCTCGACGAATCACCCTCCCCGCTTCTTCGTCTTCTTACCCATCGTGTCTCGGTCTCTCGGAATTTGCTTGAACTAGCGATGTTTCCAAGAGAGAGAGAGAGAGAGAGAGAGAGAGAGAGAGAGAGAGAGAGAGAGAGAGAGAGAGAGAGAGAGAGAGAGAGAGAGAGAGAGAGAGAGAGAGAGAGAGAGAGAGAGCGAAGTTTTTGGCTCCCCTTGGTATCCACTAACCGTGACGAGTTTTCGTAACGCTGTCTCAAACTGCGAGGGTCATTTGCTTTTACAAGTTCCACAGAGTCCTTAACAGTTTCTGTTACAACTTCCCCATTTTTCTAACTTCTAAACAGTCTTCGTTCTTCCATCTTGTCCGTAGCTTAAATCAAAACTATGCAAAGTAATATTCCGGTAATTTCAGAAATTAGCAAGGAAATATCAACTTAATGTCACTTTTCTCTTATTTATAATCGATCCCTTGCTAATTAAGTCGTCAATTCTGGCACAGCCACGAAGGTAGGCCAAGAGAGCGGAGAGAACTCCCCAGCTCCTTTAAATCTCGCCAGAAGTTCGTTACTGCACTCGGCCACGGCTTCAACTCCCCAGGAACTGATGCTCGTTACTTAGACTGCTCATATTTATCACGGTTCTCGGTTTCTCCGCGTAGTGGCCGGGGCCCTTCTTCCGCGGTTTTCGCACCGGTTCGATGAAAGCTCCTGGCAAACTCTCGAGCCGTGGCCTCTCCCCGTTCGTCGCGGCTACGAGGTAACTCCGTGGGCCGAAACTCGCGGTGTCGTCGGGCAACTAAGTTCAGAAGCTTGGTTCGCCTTCTCCTTTCCGCCCTCGGGTGAAGGATTCGTCTACGGCAGGGGTTGCAGCCGATTCTCTCTGCCGTCGTGCCACGGTTCCATAGCTACTACGTCTGAAACGCAGCCAGCCTTCCAGGGCCGCAACCATAAGTTACTAATGTTGTTCCCGTGTTGGCGGGCGAACGCGGCGGCGGCGGCGGCACCGGGTGCACCGACAATAACCCCCGCAAAACGGATTTCCAAGTTTTACCTCGTTTCCGACCGGGATTATCTTCGCCGGTATAATAGATACGCTTTAGTGGGCTGCTCGAAGGTGTCTTTCCGTGTTTTGCGGTACGCTCGAGCCCGCTGATTAAAGGTAATCGCCGCGACGCCGAAACTTGCCGCCTGAGAGGGATCTGTGCTGTTGCGTACACGGTTACAGCTGTTTCACGATACTTTATGGGTTACCATGAGCACACGAACAAAACTTTTGGCATACCTACCATGTCCTTTCTCCGTCGCTCTTGTAATTTCAATATTACATAGGAAATTTATTCAGGCGTGATATAAAATGCTTGTTTTCATCAATTCGCCCTGTACATACGATGTTACATTATTCTATTTATTCTGCATTTCGATATCAGCCTCATTTATGATAACACATTCGATACGTTTTATTCTCGAGCTTCTGATGGTATTGTTAATTTGTAAACAACAGGATAATGGATCAAGTCTTTTCACTTTTTAAATATGGATTTCATTTACTCTGTATGCGTACGCCTGGGGTCTCATAAATTCCATCAGTCGTTTCTGCATCCGCAGTGGCTCGCATAATTTATCACCGATTATAACGATGCGCAGTTTAACGCGTCCTTATTAATCAATTCGTTGGCTATTTGTTACGCGGCCGCGCCAATTTGTAATCGTCGCTAATTCAGCCATTATTCAATTCTATAAATCGACGCGCGTCAAGGAAACGGAGTATCGACACTTGCCTCGCTCGATCTTCGCCCCGATCGAATTTCAATCTCTTTTCTCCAGTTGCAATTTCTCAATATCATTCTCGTTCGTCTTAAATTCGGCTAAGCAGGTTCGATGTTTGTAGGATTAATTTTTCCACGTGAGGTTAATCGATTTCTATCGAAAATATAATTCATCATTTTATTTATGTCGGATAAAATAAATTTGATTCGTCCCTTGAATGTTTCAATCTAATAAAACCCTCCCTTTGATTCGACTATATCGAGTTTTTTCACGACTGGCTCATTACCGGCTCGATTTCTCGCACGGCTCGATCCTGAAGAAAAGTAACGCAGCGTTCGTGATGCCGTGGCCCGGCTAACGAACTCCCCGTACGACTCTGAAGTGCTATCTCCACGAGACTCAAAGGCGCCGTAAGAAGTGCCATTAAGGCGGCGATCATATCTCCCGATAGTTCGTCTTCGTTTATTAAAGCGCGACGAGAGGAACGGGGCAGCGAGCCTCCTCTCTCTCTCTCCCTCATCGTTCTTCTATCATGCTTTTTGCTCGCAACGACCACGAGCGAATCGTTCAGGATTCCACCGATAAGAATCTGACGGCCTAGAGGGATACCATCGATCCTTTTGTTCTTGCTTCGATAGCGATCGATACCGGTTGTGTAGACTTAATCGTTTATGGCTCAGAAATAAGTTGCTCAGGAATAATGATGTCTCGTGATTTTCATCATTTCTACAAAGTGATTTATATTTTTCTTACATAGCAAATAGGAATAAACAGAAGTCGATTTTTTTTACTCTGGACGAAACTTAATCATTTCTCTTAATTTTCTTAAAATGCATTCTAATCATACGTGACACATTCATAGTTTATTTTCTCAACTCAACCAACGAGCAATAGTAAATAAGAGAAGGCAAGAAGAAGGACGCGTGATACATTTCTGACAGTGATTTCCCAGGGAAGAGGGTCCTCAATCACAGGAGCTACGATTATCACGGATCCTAATAAAACGGAGGAATGATTCTTGTGAGCTTTACGGTCACGACGATATCCCGCTAACGAGGGATGTGCGCTTGTAACGCGATTAAACCGCGCTATAACGCAGCGGGACGTCCCGGGACATCCGGGACAGAGTGCAATCTGGGGAATTAAGGAATTGGCCAACCTTGCGGGAGGCGTCCGAGAAACTCGCGAGACTGAAAGTCTTCTCTTTTTCTTTCTTACGTGCGAATTGCGTCGTTAAACGCCGCTCCCTCGATTATGTCATATACGAGAGACCAGAGAGATGATACTTGCTAGACTTGTAATCGACTATCAGTACGTCAAGATTGGATTGACAATGCGAGTCACGATTTTGTTACATAACAACTTAGAGATCTTCAGTTTTATACGTGAAACCGAGTTTGCGTATAACTGAATGTAACGCGGGCTGAGATATATTACGCTGTGATATGAATTTAATTATGCACTTAATTCAACATAAATTTAACTTGTATTTAGAATGTCAAGCGGAGCAGTGCTCGTCAGCGAATGAAACGACTGGCCAAGAAATAAATCATTCGGCTGCGCAAAATTATTTACGCGCACAGCTACCCATCCAAATTATCGCATTCTCCATCATTTTATCCATACCCGGCTATTATCGTTTATTTATCAGTCCACGAAACGATTATTCATGGTCCACTGCAATTACTCGCATTTTGCCAAGGAATCAAGCCTTGGCAGCGACTCTGCGATTCGACAAGCAATAAACGACCCCGCGAGTATTATCATTCCTGGAGGAATAGTCCGATCGGGTTTAGCATAAGAAAGGCTTAGAAGAGTGCTCGACAATGGCCGACAGCTCCGATTCGAGGTTTCGAGATGACGCCCTCACTCTTTCTTTCCCTTTGGTCCGTGTGTATTGGTGCCCGAGGCTACGACGCAATCAGTGGCCTTGATTTATCGTAGCAATATACATTAAGATACCGACATTAAAACTAGGGGAGCCTCCCGTGGATTCCTGGTTCCATTACCAAAAGAGAGGGAGAGAGAGAGAGAGAGAGGGAGATGGGCTGTCGTCGCCTAGGCCCCGAAACCGTTCTCCGTACGACGAAGATTGAATCCCCGTCCCGATCCGAGTGAATTGCTACTGTCGCAACGCGTGCGCTTCCGGTACGCGTCTATTTCACGATATTAGGGTCACGCGTGGTGCTGATCTACTCGAGAGAAGCTATTTTTGGAATTGGAAATCGAGGTACTTTAAGGATGTATTGGCTATACAGTCAATACCAAAAGTTTATGCACTTTAGAAA